CATTCCCTCTAATCCTGTCCCTGCAGCTGTGGCAGGAGAGACATAAGAAGTCAGCAGAAGCTGAAGACATCTCTGAGAACATCTGATTTTCTTCAGAGCTCTCTGTAGAGATTTCAAGTCTCCTCTCTGAGCTAAGAGACTTGGTCAGGTTTGGCTAAAACCCTAAGCTCGTTGTCACATTTCCCTTGGCTTAATTTGCAAATTAATTTGCTAAAGTTCCTCTGGAACTTGCTGTAGGAAGGAAGCTCTTCTAAGGCCTCTGGAGTGACAAGGCACAGCAGGAAGATGAAGCTGGATTAATTTGCAAATTAAGCTTCCTTCCTACATCAAGTTACAAAGTACCTCCAGACAGTTCTGTTAGCCTCATGCCAAAATCTGAAAGCTCATTACTTCCATAATCAGCATCATAAAACAGTTAGCAAAGAACTTCTGCACCTACTGGACACAGCTCTGAGCTGAATAATGAAGTCAAGAGGATTTGTTTTCTTTAAATATTCCCCTAGTTGCTGAAATAGCATTAAAAGCTTTTCAAGGCAGCAAAGCAAGAGGTTGGTTTCTGGCTCTGTGGTTTGACTCAGCTAGAATAAACACAGCAATAAATTGAATTAGATCTGCCTGATGTTCACTGAACCATCAAAGTTGGAGGAGACCTCTAAGATCATCAAGTCCAACCATTAACCTGTCACTGCTGGAACTCCTAAACCATATCCATGATGCTTTTAGAGTATGGAAACAGTGTCTGCAGTCATGAGACTTATATAGATTCATAGTATGTTGGAATGGAGCTTAGAGATGGTCCAGTCTCGACCCCCTGCCCTGGGCAGGGACACCTCCCACCACAGCAGGTTGCTCAAGGCTTCATCCAGCCTGGCTTTGAACACTGCCAGGGTTGGGGCAGCCACAGCCTCCCTGGGCAACCTGTGCCAGTGTCTCACCACCCTCACAGAAAAACTGCTTCCTGATATCTAATCTAAATTCCCTCTTTCAATTTCTCCCCATTAATCATTGTCCTGTCCCTGCAGTTCCTAGCCAAGAGTCCCTCTGCAGCTTCCTTGGAGCCCCTTCAGATCCTGGAATGGGGTACAGCCCCTGGAAGTCCCTTCCAGGGATTCAGCCATGTAACTGTTGTGCTGCCTTTTGAAACCACTCCCAAGCTGTTGGATAAGGAAACTGAACTCCAAAACTAAGCCTTTCTCATAACCTCTGCTCCCTCCCACGCAGAGGCAGGAGCAGGAACAAGCTGCATGTTGAAAGGGTCAGTGCCATGGCACAGAGCCAGTGGCATGGGGACTCTGCTGAGGGGGTGGCCTCAAGAGGCTGTCCTTTGTCCCCACACAGCTGGAAAGCTCGGGGCAGCAGCTTCTAGCTCCAGGGAGTAGGGGGGGAAGGTCTCCACATGCCTGTTGAGGAAGGAGAAGTTGCCATCCATGTAGGCTTTGTTCTGTGTAGGTCATGATAATGTGCCATCCTGGATAGTTCATGTCCTTAGCAGAACTGTGGCTATAAACTCCCTTCAGGTGCTTAGCCAAGATGCCCATTCTGCTGGGGGGTGTCGTATGGAAATCTCTTTACTAGGCACCTGGGCTAAAAGTACCTTTGTTGCTGTTTAACCAGAGGTTACTTTTTAAGTTCTAAACCAGTGGTGGTCACTTGTCACTTGCAGGTCCTCTGTCAGTGATGTCTCAGTGATACATTTAGATTAGCTCTTGAACAAGCACTGAGTTGGATGCTGCAAGTAAAGTAGTGTAAAATGACAAATTCCCCATGAGCAGAGTGAACACTCACAGCCCAGAAACCAACCCAGTCCTGGGCTGCACCCAGAGGAATGTGGCAGCAGATCAGGGAGGTGATTCTCCCCCTCTGTTCTGTGAAGCCTCACCTGGAGCACTGCACACAGCTCTGGGGTCTCCAAACATTAGAAGGACATGGAACTGTTGGAGCAAGTCCAGAGGAGGCCACTAAGCTGATCAGAGAGGATCGGAACACCTTCCCTATGAAAACAGGCAGAGAGAGTTGGGGCTGTTCAGCCTGGAGAAGAGAAGGTTGTGTGGAGGAGACCTCAGAGCAACCTGCCAGGATCTGAAGGGGCTCCAGGGAAGCTGCAGAGGGACTCTGTGTTAGGAACTGCAGTGACAGGACAAGGAGCAATGGGTACAAATTGAAAGAGGGAAATTGAGATGAGCTATTTGGAAGATGTTTTTCCTTGTGAGGGTGGTGAGACACTGGCACAGGCTGCCCA